GCCCCCCCCCCCCCCCCAGCAGAACTTAAAGATGGAGTGGACAGAAGAGATGGGGGATGTGAGGCCAGCACTGCTGGACACAGTGCCCCCATCCCTGCAGGCGGCAGGGATGGAGGAGAGGAGCCCTGCCCCTCCGCTCCCTGGAGGCTCTGTCCTCCATGCCCCCCCACATCATTCTTGACAGGCAGTTGAGGGGGGGGTGTGTGTGTGTGTGTGTGTGTGTGTGTAAACTAGACATCATATGCACATACATATATACATACGTGTGTGTGCTACGTACATACGTGTGTGTGTGTGCATCAGTTGAACACCATGTTTCATTGATATATTTACAATTAAAGCAGTTTGGAAGCCTACCAGTGCCTTAATCACTATAATAAAACAAATTCTAAGTATCTATAAATATTGGCATTTGATTTTGGGGGTTTTTTTATTGTGCAAAATCAGAGTTCCCCTTTGCTCACCAAGATGCAGATCCAGGCCCCTCACTCCCAAGCCTCAGCACCCCCAGCCCTGCTAGAAGGGGTCCCCAGCTGCCAGGGCTACAGGGCCAGGGACCTGGGTCTGCACCCCCTGCCCCGCCACAGAAGTACCTGAGCCCCAGCTGCCACTCACAGGAAGTGCTGGGTGCTGCAGTGGAGTGGAGCATGGAGCCCAGCTTCCTCCTTCTTCCCCCCCCTCCCCCCCATGGATGACACAGCTGGAGGAGCCCGTGGGAGGGGGTCAGAGCTGATGTGGGCTCCCTGCTGTCAGCTCAGGTCTCCCTGCCCAGCTGCCCTGACCCCAGGGTCTCCATGGCCCAGCGGATAGGACAGAGTGAGGCTGGGCAAGGAAGCATACTGCTGCTGCAGGGAGCTCTGCTCCACCATGGCGAGGTGCCCCCTGCCCACTTGGCAGCAGTGAAGGGCACAACTCCACACCACCACCTCCACTGCTCCCAGGTGAGCAGGGTGCACTTTGCTGGGGTGGTGTGGGGCTTGCAGCAGCAAGAACCTTCCCCACCTGTCCATGCTGTGCCCTGCCATGCCAGGTTCCACCCACTGGGCTCTGGAGGCCTCGGGGTGGGCAGCAGTGCAGAAAGCCCGAGGACACAGTTAGGCAGCTTGACCCTGCTCTGCATGGAGATCTGGGGAGCACATGCCTCCACTGCCCCCCCCATGAGTGCACACAGCAGCAAGAAACCAGCCCCACTCCCCTTACCCCCTGGACAAGCCGCCTGCAACTCTGTTCCACTCTGCAGGTTTCATTGCTCATGCTGTGCTGCCAAGGGAGGCCCTCCCCTCCCCTCCCCTCCGGGACCTCAGTTCTTCCCTGACTATTCTCCTTAGCTCATTGAAGTCTGCCCTTCTGAAATCTAGGGCTGCTGCCTTGCTGTAGGCCTTTGCCACCTTGTGCTGGATGGTGAATTCCAGCAGGCGATGATCACTGTCGCCCAGGTGGTCGAGCACCTGCAGCCCCTTCACCAGGTCGTCACCCAGGGCCAGCACCAGGTCCAACAAGGCATCTCCCCTGGTGGGGCTGTGCACC